AGCTCTAGAGACTTCTCTCCTCCCTTTTCTTTCTCCTTTTATCTTCTCCTAGGATTCTAAATGGTTTGGGGTGAGAGTGGAGTGAAAGAATGAAAGAAAATAGGATGAAAATAGTGTTTTAAAGTCAGTCCAATCCTGAATTTTACTGTTCATAGGGCCAAAAAATTACATTTTTCTCCTAAATTAAGGTTTTGCCACTAAATATCTCAAATTTGATCCCTATGACTACTCTAAGATTTTTAAAAGTTCCAGATTCATTTTTAATGCTATTTTAACCTAAAAATATTTAGTTTTATGATTTATCTTTATACTACAGTAAATTTACACTCGAAACATTAAAATTACTATTTTATTCTTCCGAATCACTATTAATGAAATTTTAAATTGATTGACCCATCTGAGGTCCAACATACAATCCTTGATACTCTATTATTGTCCATTTATAACATTTGAAGGAAAGAATGCATAGTCCCAAAGCTTTGACAAAACACTTTTTAAAATTTTTGATTTTTAAAAAGAGTACAGGTACAGTGTACCGGTACTCTATGCTCTTTGGACAGCGTGGTACTAGTACATGGTACCGGTACTGTTTGTCCTCTAGACAATGTGGTACCGGTGCACGGTACCGGTACTGTTTGTCCCGATTTGCCTATTTCACCTGTTTTCCATTTCAAATCCATTCCAAACGATTTCACATATTTACCCGAGTTTTACAATATTAGTATTTCGAAAGGAAATGATTACTTGCTACATAAAGATAAGAGTGTGGGGAGGGGAGTTTACAATTATTACTTATAGGGTCTGTGTTTGAAATTTTTTTGTTTGCTTTTATTTTTATAGTTAGTACTTTGCAAACATGGTGGTGAGGAATGAAGATTTCAAGGTAAAAGACACAAGAATATGTATTTATTTTGCTATCTATATATTGTGTTTCAGTGATTAGTGCTTGCACTTCTATCATTACTTGGGATATAATCTCCTAATTTTGTGGTGTTGTTTTATATTAGTTTTGTTGTCAATGTGACAAATGCTTGATTGCATAAATTGAGTGAAAGATAAGTTGTAATGCCTTTTTTTTTTTTGGTATGAATTGTAGTATGAAGGCTTTATTCATATGGATGGTATATATAGATTGTTTTTTGTTTGAAAGTTGTGATGGAGATTAACTTGGCTTTGATTTTTTTTTTTGTTGTTGTTGTGTAATTAGTTGGGCTTTTGCTTTTCTTTTGTTGGGGGCAACAGTGATTATCAACTGGATTTTATTTTTGCAATCAGTTGGGTTTTTTCCCATGTGACGTTGTGGCAATGGTTATTAGCTAGATAAAATTTTTTAGTTTTGGTTCTATGTCACATTGACAGTGGTGATCAACTTTGTTTCATTCTTGACCTATTGACATTTACTGAAACTACAATATTATCAATTTTAATTTTTTTTTACTCTTTTAACTTTTTTCGATAGGTTCCTATTTATTTTTCAAATTGTTGAAACATTGAGTATTTTATTTATTACATAGTTCCTTTAGGCATGAGCAATTTCGTGTATATATATATTATCTAGCATTTGAGTTAAAAGTGAGATCTTGGGACTCTCACATGCGCAGGGTTGGAACAAGTGTTACTTATTATCGGATTAAATATGGGAGTAATTACAAAATATTAAACACATATTTTCCATATATATATTTACGTATTTTAGTATGTATGATATACAATCTGTTATCTACGACAATCTCTCTACTACATAGGTTTCTGGACAATATTTAAAAGTGTCGTGTGAAGCTTCTGCTTCATTCGATTATGCAAATCCGAGTGAAGTAATAGATATAGGAGTAAATACAAAATATTAAACACATATATTTACCGTATATAGGTATCGTGTGAGTGAAGGAACAATCAATAGGCTGAGCTGTTGTATCCTGTGGACGACGCATTGTTACCTTCTGCACTATGATTCTTTTATAAAGGGGCACGAATCGTCTTAAGAAAGCAACCTAGTTCGTTCCTTACCCTGTCATTCACTTTATTTTTGCTTCCAATTTTTTCAACAGAATTCACTGTCAATTCAATGATTATAAATAGTTATTTAAAAAATTAAATCAATAAATAAATCCAAATAACATTGCTGGTTATAAATTTAGATGGATTAGCTCGAAGATAACTTAACTCAGCCTCAAATATTCAGTATTTAAAGTAAAAAAATTAATATATGAATTAGGCTTAAAACCAAAAAAAAAAAAATCCAAACTCAATTTAAATGCCAAACATACTGGAATTAAAGTCTCGGACTCGAGTGAACCCAACCAAGAATAAATACGAATACTAGTCCTAGTTGTTTAATTTGATAATCAACTTTTTGTTCACTTTGAATTAAACTCAAATTGATTATGGTGTTGTAAAGTCAAAAAATTAAGTCTAAATTAAACCAAATTGCAAAAAAAAAAAAAAAAAAAATTAGACGGGGAATAACCAATAATTAACAAAAATTAAACAAACTATATTAATGGGGATCTAGATCAACCCCAAAAGGTAGTTCAAGTTATAATATGGACGAGATATAAATCTAGACATCTTGAGTTCACATCTTAACAATTTTTTGAGGGTCAGATCATAAGAGATTTATCACTTATAAATACTCTAATTTCAACGTGAATGACATGCTTTTGACTAGATCAAGAAGAAGATTAGTTGAGATGTGGATAAATTCACCCGAAATACCTAAACAATAGAAAAAAAAATGAAAATATGTATCCATCTAATGGGTATATAAGAAAATAAAAGGCGTTTGAATTACGCATTATTCTTAGTCATTGCACAAGCACCATTTCATAACTAGTCTCCTTTACCTCCAACCCAATACAAAATCAAACATGTCTACTGACTTGATCCGAAATGTGTACACGTAAGTGCAGGCGGTCAAATTGTAGTAATAATCCAGTTAAGTCCGGAGTTGAATTCTCAGGGAACTAATGGTGGTGTTTTGAAGTAAGTAGTCATAGAGACCACAGTGACCGAAACCCTTGAGATTTAAAGTGATGATATTTATGGATTTTTCCTAGATAGAATATAAGATTCTTCCCAAAAAGATTTTCTAGACAAAATATAATATTCTTTCAAATGTAAAAGTCACTCTTTAGTTCAAGGATCGGGACATGTAGTCAATCATCTGGTTATTATACTTGTGCTTAAGAACTCAATTAATCCCCGTGTCAACATAAAGTTAATCAGAAGATAAAGATGGATTGTGAGAATTAAGAGTATGGTTCCAATGTCTTTGTAGAGATTTACAAGAATTGTCTGTGCTGAGACTCAACCCGTCTATAAACAAGCAAGTCTTTATACAAGGCATCTGACTACTGCGTTAGTATTTCATTATTAGTTGAAGCACAATAAAAGGTAGCCATGAAAATCTAGCTAGAGTACTTGCAAAGGACTAACGAATCTTCCTATGCCAAAAGTCATATAGTTCATAGAAAGGACTGATGGTGGTGCAAAGTACCTTAGCTTTGCTAAATGCATTCAATCATTCAATAAGCAAGTAAAAGATAAAGCATTAAGTATAAATAAAATGTACAAAAATAACTTCCGAACGATTTATACATGCCCATCACCTCTTACTAAAGAGTGAATGAAAAACTACTCATTCTTCATAGCTTTAGTAAAGTTAGAAAAGTGAGTAATTCTCATCCCTCCAAGTAGAAAATACACTACACAAGGAGCCGATCTTCGACAAAGAATGAGTGATTCACGTTCCACCCTTCACCACTTTGGTAAAGCTTTAGAAAAGTGGAAGAGTTTAACTCCTCTAAAGGGAGAAGAAAGCTCAAACAATAGAAACAAATGAAACTAATAATGAAAGTAGAAGAAAATTAGTCACTTTTGGAGGGTTTCCTCCTCAACTAAAAGATGATAAATCCCCCTCTATCTATGTCTATCTAAGTGTAAGTTTAAGTCTAAGACTAACTCTAAGACTCCGTCTCTTTTGAAGTTCCCACAATGGGAGTATTTATAGGTAAGGAGGAGGGGGTAAAGAAGTGTAGAAGAATAGTCCAAAGTCTTCAAAATCCAAGTGAATGCTCCAAGGTCCAAATAGAAAATCAACCACTCTATAGCCTGTCTAGGGACTACATTCGAACGCAGTATGGCATTCGAACATTAACTCCTGAATTCTATTAGGGGCATTCAAATGCTTAATGGAGTTTGAACATAGTCTCAAGTGGCTCTTATCACCCACAGTAGATAACAAGTCATGTCTCATCACTCTAGTAGTCTGGTCCTCAAATAATTCAAGATGACGTTCGAAAGTTGATTGACGTTCGAATATTGTACTAAAGTAGCTCTTGGTCTTCTGTGAAAATAACTGCAACACACCATATGCAATCACCCTAGCCGTCTGGTCTTCAAATAATTCAAAAGGACGTTCGAACGTGGATTGACGTTTGAACGTTGATGCCTTGTTTCAAACTTCTCCAATTTTCTTCCATAACATATGGGTGGTGCATGAAAGTTTGATGTTTATTGACTTTAAGTCCTTGTACAATCCTTTTCTTGAAATGTCGTGATTGAAACTCTATCAAGCATAATTAGTCTTAAAAAGACATAGTAAGATGCTAATTTTAACTGCAAATCATCTACCAAAAGTCCACGCCATACCAAAATTATCCTTCTAACAACCATTCCACCCCTTATTCAAACCTGGGGTATTTATGACCTTTCACAAACTCCTATAATCGTTTAGTAACTAATTTCTTTTTGAAACTTCTGGTAATTACATAAGCATGCTTTATCCAAAGGTACTGCATATGCACATACCGTCCCCTCTTTTCCCTCTCTCTAGTGTTTGTGTTCTCTCTCTCTCTCATTTACCAATGTATAAAAGCATACGCCTCGATCTTCTGTATTCACCTCTATAATTCTCATCATATTATGAACTACGGATAGTCACATACTATACATTGGTATACATTCAACTTTATTGATATAGATAGCGATAATTCCTGGCTATGGCTGGCGTGGAGTTTTTATCCTTGGTAATGGTGGTGGCGATGGTCTACGGCGTCAGAGTTGGTGGATATCAAGCAATTGTGATGACACTGGAGAGCGCGTTTCCAGCCAACAAGAGAATAGATCTGAAGGTGCTCAGATCTTGGGACAAAGCAAGGCATGCGTGTATCTTGCAAGGTGTTGTTGGTGGTATTGTTGATTTTCCGGCAGTTGGTTCTACCAATCCCTACATCGTTAGGTAATTTTGTCAAAGCCCGTTGAAAATGACCTCTTTTTTGGTTCCTTTTCTCAGTTCTTGGGTTTTAGAGCATTTATACTTGGGTAATTTTGTGGTATTGTTATTACTAATAGTTTGGTAAGATCAAAAAAATTTATGGGTATCATCAAATCCTTAAAACCTATTTTTGTTTTTTTGAGTTTGCTTTTTTAGTTCTCCAGTTCTTAGCTATTGACAGTGTTGCATATTAAAGGAAGATAATGGGTCTTATTGTTATTGAGAGTGATCAAAAACAAGATATTGTGGGCTTTCACTGAGCTTGAAGATAACACATACACACACACACATGTATCTAATCATCCCTACCTCGTATGATAATTTTATTGAAACCCATAAAAAAAAACCCCACAGAAAAGGGTCTTTTAGGTTTTGCTCCTGGATTATTGTAATGTTCTAGTAAGCCAAAAAAAATTACCGTCATCCATACCACAGTTAAAACTATTTTTAGTAGTTTGGATATTTATGGGTTATGATTTCTAGCAATGTTTTGTACATCTTTTTCCAAAACGTATTTCGCTGATTTACAATCAACTCGTACTAGGAATTTCTGATTTAGTATATCATCCTGAAATTTTGAGATACACAGGACAATAGCTAAAATTTCTTTTTTAATAGTACTATAGTTTGCTTGTGCTTTGTTCCATATACCAGAGTGAAAACTAACAATTTGCTCTGGGGAGTCTGAAATGAGCTTTTGAAGTAGGATACCACTGTAGCCAATGTCGAAGGCATCAGTTTGGATGATTTTGAAGGAATCAACCGAAGGAATACCAAGAGAAGGTAAAGTCTTGATAACTGTTTTACTTTTTGCACGATAGAGGTGTGTCATCTGACGGCCTGGATAGTTACCCATGCAATTATATTTGAATTGTCTTACTTGTTTTAAATCTCTTCCATTTCAGTTTAGTAAATTATTGTTAAGTTTGATCTACTCTTGTCACCTAGCCTTTGTTTGCCCAACAGTACAAGTCTAGATCCCTGTTGTAAGTCCTAGTGAGAGGCAGTTTTGGAAAGAAGACAACAAAGTTGAGGGTTATATGTTCGGAGGTATGCACAATGGAGTCAAACCTTAATAATAATTTACAAAATTAAAAAATTAGATTTAAAAAATGAGTAGATTATTCAAATCTAATTCTATATCTAGCTCATCTATATCTTCAATGAACACTATACCTAATATAGTGAATGAAGAAGAATATGAGTATCAGGAGTCACAGGTAGACTGGAGTGGATGGAACATCCCAAAAGTCTCTAGTAAAGAAATTTATAAAACCAGTTGGATCCCAAAAGCATTCAACGAAGAACTCCAAGTAAAAACAATTGAATAAGTTTATGCCCTCCGTAAGGAAGAAGAAACTTGTCAATTACTTAGTAAACAAACCCTTAAAAAACATAGTGATAAAGGGTTTAACTTTATTCATCTTGGTTTAGTTCAAGTTGTAATTAAACTATTAATTCAACAAGGAAGGATTGCAACAACACTATTAACCTTAAGAGATACTAGGTTTCTGGACTACAAACCCAGTATCCTTGGGATAATGGAAACTGGCCTCCATAACGGTCCAGTTTATTTCAATTGCTTTCCAGATTTCACACTAAGTCTAGAATGTCCTAACACCATGATGGCTTTAACCTTAGGAATAAAGCTTTTTGGAGACATTGTTAGACTAGTTGAAGAAACTAGATCAATAGTATTAATCTATAGGATCTACTATAAATGCATTACCACAAACCTGAATGTGCATGCATTAAAGAAAAGTCCTAAAGATAGTACTTGATTAATCCAATTTAGTACAAGTCAGTCAAATATCCAAGTCCCTAAGCAAATCCTTTGGAAGGATGTTAAACTCCTAGATTCTTGGATAGTTGAAAATGAAAACTTTAGTAAAGAAAATAGTAAAAGCACCACTACAGATGTAGAGGATATCCAACAGTTATTTGATGGATTAGTAAGAATCTCCTTTGATTCTTCAAGATCCAGTAGATCTTACAGATCATCTAGTAAGCCAATTCAAATTAATAAATCTGATTCACATTCTAGTATCTCCAGGAGAGATAAAGAATTAACCAGTGAATTAGAAAAAAGATTTAAGTTAAAAGGAATTGCTAATTTCACATTACAAATTAGTAGACCGTGTTACACTCCACACCAGAGTGTCTCACAACCTAGAGAAGAAGAGGAAGAAGATGACTTCACCCCTTCACCAACAGCCAGTGATTTATAGAGCACTATTCCAATAAACCACCAATTACTCATTATTAGGAAAGAAAATGGTTTATTCTTACCTAACATGATTAAACTAGGTAAAGAATTTAAGTCTAAAGAAAATGAATCTAAAAGAAATGAGTACTTTAAGAGATTCAATAGTAACCAGCAAAAAGAAATAATGAAACAATGGGTTAAGTTAATGCATAAAATAGAATCAGAAATTCTATTTTTTTGATTATCTTGAAACCCATCACAAAGAGGTAAAAGTAGTAACAAAACATAAGTGGAAAACCTCCGAAAATTCCACAATAACATCTAGTCATCCTCCAATTGAAACCATAGTATTTAGTCATTTGGATACTGAAAGTTACAGCCTCAACCAAACTTCTAACAATTCAGAAACCAGCAGCTCAAAGAGCTTTACTGATTCTGAAATTAAAAAATTAAAAGAACAGTTTGATAATCAACACATTAATAAATTAACTTTTTCAAAAGTTAATCTAACCAGCACTAGTAAAAATTAGTATCTCAAACCAACACCACCTGATCTTCAATTTGAAGAAAAGAACATTAGTAATCAGTTTCCAGTTCAATCCAACAAACTCTATGAATGGAACATAGATGAGTTAAGTGAACAAGAAATTCTTAATAAAATTAGTCACCTATCCATGGTTGCCAATAGTTATATTTCCAATCTTGATCACACTGAACTAGAATTAGTTGATATGATCCCTTTTGGATTTACAGGTGTATTAAGAAATTGGTGGGATAACTACCTTACCCAGGAATCAAGAGACAATATCAAATATGCTGTTGTTCTTGATGATGAAGATATATCAGTCTTTGCTGAAAGGATTGGTAAAGCAAAGGATGATGGGATCAACACTCTCATCTTCACCATAATCAAACATTTTGTTGGAACACCCANTGAAGATATATCAGTCTTTGATGAAAGGATTGGTAAAGCAAAGGATGATGGGATCAACACTCTCATCTTCACCATAATCAAACATTTTGTTGGAACACCCAGTAATATTGAAGCTAGGATCCATGACTAGCTTAGGAACCTAAGGTGCCCAACACTTAGTGATTTCAGATGGTACAAAGATGTATTCATCTCCAGACTGTGACAATATGGTCTTCAGTCAGTAGCACCATCCCGTAGAAAACACAAGTCACACAAGCCTTACAGTCGTAGTAAAAGTCACTACAAACATAGTAAAAAGACTTTTAGCAAACCCACATATTATGAAAAATCTAGTAAAAAACCCAACAAACCTTATAAGCGTAAAATTTAAAAGAAAAAATCAAGGGAAACAGTTAGTAAAAAAGATAAAGAAGTCAAGTGTTACAACTGTGGCAAGAAAGGTCATATCAGCCCAGATTGTCCAGTTAAAAAACAAGTAAAAAGATTAAATTTAACCCAAAAAGATGAAGAAGAAATTCTCCACATTTTTAGGCTAAACAATCTTTCCCAAAGTGAAGAAAGTTCAGAATACTCAATCAGTTCTGAAAGTTCTTCAGACTACCAGTCAGCCTCTAGTAACCCTAGTGAACCTAAAATCAAAATAGGTTGCAAAGATAGTTGTTGCAAAACAATAAGGGTGATAACCAAACAAAATGAGGAAGAACATATCCTCATTGAGTTGATTAGTAAAATCGAAGACCCAGAGTTAAAAGTAAAATACATCAAAAAATTAAAAGATTTGTTTGCCCAAAAAGACATAAAACAATCTTTTAATCAAAAATAGTTAATAAGTCTTAACAAAATAATGGAATGATTCAGTAAGGAGAAAAAAAAAGAAGTCACCTTACAGGATCTCCAAAGTGAAGTTAACAAGTTAAAATCTGAAATAAAAGAATTACAAGCTCAAGACAAAAAATTTGCAGAAGCTTTAAGTATTTTAAGAACAGATAGTTTTGGCCCTTCAAAGGATTTTAATCTTGAAAAATAGCCACTAGTTAATGAACAATCTGACACAGAATATCCAAATTGAACAGATTTTCAGGGGATACCCATAACCTCCACCTCTCTAGTGGAACCTTTGGGTGTAACGAACCTGCCATCTCACGATGAATGTTCCTAAACTAATGATAGTTACAGAATTAATTTAGTTAACAAAATTAATTTTCAAAAATGGCATTCTAAAGTAAAAATCATAATTGATAATGATTTTAAATTAGAAACCATTGCCTTAATTGATACTAGTGCAAATGTAAACTGCATCCAAAAAGGAATTATTCCAACGAAGTATTATCAAAAAACCATTAAAAGACTTAGTTCAGCCAATGGAAGTAAAATGAATGTTAAGTACAAGTTACCGAGTGTTCATATCTGTCAAGATAATATATGTTTTAAAACATCATTTATCTTAGTCAAAGACATGACTGATGAAGTAATTCTTGGTTTACCTTTTGTATACTTATTGTATCCATTTACAACAAATACAAATGGTTTAACCACGAAACTACTTGGTCAATCAGTAACTCTTAAGTTTATAACCAAACTAGACGTTAAGAAATTAAAACAACTTAAAGATCATTCAATCTCCAAGTATCTTAAATTGATTAACCAAAAAACTAACAAAGTGAAATTTCTCAAAGAAGAAATTAATCACAAAAGAATTCAAGAACAATTAACTTGCCCAATCTTAATTGAAAAGATTGATCAGTTTAAAGCAAATTTGGAAGCAGCAGTGTGTTCTAATCTTCCTACAGCTTTTTGGCATAGGAAGAAACACATGGTAAAACTTCCTTACATAAAAGGATTTAGCGAACAAAATATTCTAACTAAATCCAAACCCATTCAAATGAGCCATGAAGTAATGGAGATTTGCAAAAAAGAAATCTCTGAATTACTCAAAAATGGTATCATTAGGAAAAGTAAATCTCCTTGGTCATGTCCAGCTTTCTATTTCATCAAAAAATACAGAATTAGAAAGAGGCACACCAAGATTAGTAATTAATTACAAGCCTTTAAATTCTATATTGAAATTGATCAGGTACTCAATTTCAAACAAATAGGATTTAATCAAAAGACTTAGTAATGTAGTCATATTTGCAAAATTTGATATGAAAAGTGGTTTTTGGCAAATCATGATATCCCCAGAAGACAGATATAAAACATCATTTACAACTCATTTTGGTCATTATGAATGGAATGTTATGCCATTTGGATTGAAAAATGCTCCTAGTGAATTTTAAAACATAATGAATGAAATTTTTAATTGCATTAGTCATTTTTCTATAGTCTATATAGATGATGTCCTCATCTTCTCCAGATCTATAGAAGAACACTGGAAACACCTCTATGCATTTTTAGAGATTGTCAAACATAATGGTTTAGTCATCTCTACTAGTAAAATCAAGCTTTTCCAGACCTCAGTAAAGTTCTTAGGATACAATATCCAACAGTCAACCATTGTCCCAATTAGTAGATATATCATGTTTGCAGATAAATTTTCTGATGAAATAATGGAAAAAACTCAGTTGTAAAGGTTCTTAGGTTTTCTAAATTATATTTCTGACTTCTATCAGGATCTTAGAAAAACCGTTAAACCTCTGTATGACAGACTCAAAAGGAGTCCTCCTCCTTGGTCTCCAGTGCACACCTCTATCATGCAAAAAGTAAAATAGTATATTAAGACTTTGCCTTGTCTTGGTATTCCTTCGGTTGATTCCTTCAAAATCATCCAAACTGATGCCCCCGACATTTGCTACAGTGGTATTTTACTTCAAAAGCTCACTCCAGACTCCCCAGAGTAAATTGTTCATTTTTACTCTGGTATTTGAAACAAAACACAAGCAAACTATAGTACAATTTAAAAAAGAAATTTTAGCTATTGTCCTATGTATCTCAAAATTCCAGGATGATATACTAAATCAGAAATTTCTAGTACGAGTTAATTGTAAATCAACAAAATACGTTTTGGAAAAAGATGTACAAAATATTGCTAGTAAACAGATTTTTACCAGATGACAATCTATTTTAAGTATTTTCGATTTTGACATCGAATATATTAAAGGCAGTACTAACTGCATCATTGATTTCCTAACTCGTGAATTTCTATAAGAACCTCATGACGAACATGAAAAAAAGTAAACCTGGTACCTCTTCCAAAGCCGGGAGAGATACTACAAAACAATTAGCCTTACCTAGCCCAAATCCAAAACCAAGCCAATTGCCTAGCCTAAGCTCTGCAATTGTAATAGCCAACCGTTACCAACCTTTTGGTAATTCAGTAAAACCAGTAGCCCAGTCTACTATAGTAAACCCAAGTACGTTCCTCCAAATGGCCCAACAAGGCCCAATCAGTTCATCTAGCCCATCTATGACCCAACCCATATCATTGGCTAAACCTAACCAATTAGTCAACCCATATAAATCCCAGCCTACTTACAAAGGTCCCAAAATGGATTATGTTGATAAGTCTCCGGCCGATTACATATTCCCTATTGAACCAACTCATGCTCATCTCAGTAACCCAATTGACCTAGTCAATGCCTACCTTGAGCCAGGTTGGACCTTTGTCCCACATGACCTTGAAAAGACTTTTTAGTTTTATCAGGATATCCTTTTCTTTACGCAGTCCATTTTTGTTAAAAAAATCCCGGACAGTAAAGACCCTAGTAAAATTATTTATCATTCTTTGTATATATTAAAATTTATCTACTTCAAAGAATAGGGATCTCATCCTTCTTTGCTCCAAGATCTACCACACCATAGTAAAAAGTTTCGCTACTATTATTACAAAGAATCATGGTATAAAGTTATTCTCTATCATGATGAGTCTTTAACTCATTACTGGTTCATATAGTTCAACAAGGATTTCAAAAGCCAGCTTCCTTGTTGGTTTTTACAGTAGTAGTAGGTTCACGGCCCCATGCTTGAAATCTTTCCACTTGATCTTCAGGATCAGGTGACATATTTCTCATCTGCTTATAAACCTAGTACACATGAGTCTCAGTTTTCTAGTCTTTTAATTTTTATAAAAAAATATAAAGTTCCATAGATATGCAATTGGAAATGGAATATTGCAGCAAATTATGTTATCAGACAGTTTTGCGTAAAATGGTGGCCCAAGGTCCAACATCAACACATTATTGAACATGTATAACAAGAGTTCCAAGTAAAGGTTCCTACTCTAATCATGGTTACAAGAGCAACCAGTCATGCTCCAACAACTCCAGTCAAGTAGGTTATGCCAACCCTCAAGATATCTGCTCTTGCAGAATCATCGACACAACCATCCCTAGTCAAGTAGACGAAGTCTTCCTCTAAGGACTCTAGTAAGCAATCCAAGAAGAAGTCTACAACACTCATTGAGTAAACACAGAAACTTCTTCAACAAGCAGCTAGTGAGAGTCGCTCTTCTGCATCATCTTAGGCATCAGTCACACCTTCATTAGATCCGTTTCAAGACAGTCAGGATCCTTTTGCAGGATATGATGACTTAGCCGACATTACTACCCCTTAATTTTTATCCTTACATGTGATAGCTTCACTTACTACTCTTTAAAAAGAGAAAAACTATCTGTCACTTGTAATGATATTATATCATCTAGTAAAATCAAGCTCTTTCCTCTAGAAAAGCAGCCAACCATCAACATCCAAATCTGTTTTTCCACCGAAAAGCAGATTCTTTCAGCCAGCAACAGGGGTCCACACCTGCGTTAGTCAAAAGTTACCTAAGTAAAAGGCATTTCACTTCTCTTTTCCACCAAAAGCTAAAGTGAAAGCATTTTACCTTAGTAAAAGCAGCAAAGTTAGTCAAAAGGGAAATCATTCCAAGATTCCTTTCGAAGGCTCCTTACTCTTATAAAAGGGCTTCAGTCTTCACAAGCAACATAAGTTTTTTCTTTAGGGAAAAACTATATTACAAGCCAGTACACACAATCCTACCCTTCTCTCATATTGTATATCTGATCTTCATAATAATGCAAATGAAGAAGCAGATCACTATCCCTAGTAACTCACTTCCACTAGCCCATTAACACTAGTGTTGTAAGTATTTTATTTCTTATATTGTAATTTCTTTATTTTGTGAATATAAAGAAGTTTTAGTTAATTCTTTTATATCTACAGTTTGTGATTCTCCTCTACTTATTTCATGGCTTCCGCACTTGTTATATTCATGACCCTGAAAAGATTTTCAGTTTTATCAGGATATCTTTTTCTTTACCCAATCCATTTTTGTTAAAGAAATATTATTTATTTGTATTATATAAAATATATTTATTGTGTTGCAAATGTATAGTAATATATTAGATATTGCAAAATATATATTTATATATATGTATTGTTAGCAAGTGAATAATATGTGAGATTGTTAGGGTTAATATAGTAAAATAACAAGTTTTGTTACCTTTATCAATCGACTAATTCTTATAGGTGTATCCAAAATTTTTTTGGTAATATAGGGAATGCGTTTGAAGATAAGATATAAAGGTGTGGATGAAGTTTTTTCAAAAAAATTATATCCAAATTCTATTGCCTCAAGCATCTTTAACTCTGACTTAAATTTAAATTTGAGTAAAAAAGTTAAAAAAAAAATTCGCTCAAATATTTGACTCAAACTTATATCAAATCAAGTGAGACTCAATTTTTTACTCAAATTAAAAGAGACTCAAATTCTAATCTAAATTTGTAATTGTGAGATTTTACTATTTTTTAAAAATTCAATAATCATCTTTATTCTCTTTTAATTTTGAATTTATTTTTATTTAAGTTTAAATTTTTTCTTCTTTAAATTTGAGTTTATCCATTGAAGAGTTTTATATGCTTTTTATTCAAATATTATTTTAAATTTAAGTAAAACTTTGAGTCATAATTCTAAGTATCGGGTTGAAAATTTTTTTTATTTAAATTTAAATTTAGATTAAAAGAGGGATAAATATTGAAAATCACAAGTAATTTCTTTGTTATTTCTAAGCAAATAGAAACTCGCGCACAAAGTCAAATTGGTGAAATCGTATCACGCGCTTACCTGCTACCAAAACCAAAGCCCAACGTCAATCCTGATCTTGAGAAGGTCGAGCGCGAGACAGAAGCTCCCTTGGGTTTTGAATTGTTTGTGATTGTTTTTTGGATTAATCCGACGATTACTAAAACCTGATCAAGAAATGTTCAAGTCCTTCTGGTAATTTATCTCTCTCACTCTCTCTTTGTGTCTCTCGAATAATTGTAGGGTTTTTTATTCTTTTCGTTCAACAATTGCTTACTTTTAGGGATTTGGGTCATCGACGGTTTGTAAATTTTATGTTTTGTTGTCGAGCAGAAGTTTCTGATTGGTTATGTTAGGTCATACTGTTTGTCTACTCCATAAAGTTTTGTTTTTTCAGCTAATTCTGGTTATTTTTGATGATTTTGTGTTGTATTGTGAATTGCTGGATTGTGCTATTGTATAATTTTTGTCGGTAATAAACTCCTTAATTCATAGAATTGTNTGAGCAGAAGTTTCTGATTGGTTATGTTAGGTCACACTGTTTGTCTACTCCATAAAGTTTTGTTTTTTCAGCTAATTCTGGTTATTTTTGATGATTTTGTGTTCTATTGTGAATTGCTGGATTGTGCTATTGTATAATTTTTGTCGGTAATAAACTCCTTAATTCATAGAATTGTGGTTTGTATCGATAAATCTGAATGGGATGGCGCATGGATCAATTGGATTTTTAGAATTTCTAGCTGCTAATGAGTGTTGTTGATCCGGATCATTAGGCTGCCCTGCTCTTTATCTTTGGTTCTGTGGGATTTTCTGTTTTTAGTATTTGGTACTCTGGTGAAATGAATCTGTGTTTTAGAAATAACAGTGGATTAATTGGCTGTTAGTTCATGTTTTACTTTGATGGANTCATGGATCAATTGGATTTTTAGAATTTCTAGCTGCTAATGAGTGTTGTTGATCCGGGTCATTAGGCTGCCCTGCTCTTTATCTTTGGTTCTGTGGGATTTTCTGTTTTTAGTATTTGGTACTCGGTGAAATGAATCTATGTTTTAGAAATAACAGTGGATTAATTGGCTGTTAGTTCATGTTTTACTTTGATGGACATTTCGTGTGTCTTATTAGGCTCTAATCCTGTCTACCTACAGGGGCTCTCAAGAGGAACAGGCTCAGCNGACATTTCGTGTGTCTTATTAGGCTCTAATCCTGTCTACCTACAGGGGCTCTCAAGAGGAACAGGCTCAGCCACATCCCCAGGAAATTCCTACAGAATCGTGGTATCCTCCATCTGTTATTAGCTCGCCAAGCTTGTCTCGCCCCTCAATGTCTGGTAGCAGTGCATCTAGCGGCTTTAGTCTGCAAAGTCGTGCAGATAGGCCACATGCTTTATCTCAAGTTTCACCTGCAGAAGCTGCGGGCATTATTGCTCTGTTGAAAGACAAGAGGTTAGGTCCTGATATTCTGAACCCATCTTATTAGAAGTTAGAGTTGTTTCTAAGCATCAAAATTTGTGTAACATTGTCATACTGTGAAGTGTTTTGCGCGAACTTTGAGGGAAAGCATCTTAAACATATATAAAACACGTTTTCTCAGGGAGAAAAGTAGAATTACTTTTTCCCATTTCCCTTAGAAAGCATATGATCCTCATTTCATTTGGAAAGTATATATTTTTTGAGCATAGGCGCGCACACACACACACACACTTATGTATGTGTTTTGAAAGATAGAAATATTGATTGCAAATGAACGGTAAATTCTACTGTTGACAATTTATAGTCCAGCATGCCATTCTGCTATTACTATGATTTTTGCTGTGGAGTTGTTTTTTCCTTTATTCTGATACAACCAGCTTATATGTGTCATTGTGATTCCTTGGGAATAATTTAGATAGCGAAAGTTCCTTATTTTTGGTTTGCATTGTTTGCGCTTCTTATCATTCTCTTTTTGTGTTATCTAGTGTTGATGAGTTACGGAAGCTTTTGTCCGACAAGGATGCATATCGTAATCTTTTTCTTTCTCTTGACCTTGTGAAAACTCAGAACAAGGTGAGTTCTGAATCATTCTTTTTTATGTGTTCCTCTGTATCTCATATTTGTAACATCTCTCCAGTACATGTGGTTTTCTACAATTCATCTTAATTGGTTCACTATCCATGGAACTAAATTTCTCTGTGCCTGTAAATATATTTGATTAAAACTGCCCTGGTAAATAAATGTTTTATTCTAGCCAATCTCTCTCTTTTTCCCCACCCCGATAATTCCTAGTTGAGTTGGCGGGTTAACTTGATAATAGTTTCTTTTTTATCTTTTACGAGGCATGCCAAGGGCTAAAAATTATTTTAAAGCTTGCTGGGATCCCATCACTCTTGGAATCTTGTTATGGGACATTCCTTTTGACTTGCTAGTGATGATTCTCATGTGGTCAATCGAGGATTACATACATGTGCTCCTTCTTTATAAATAATGAAAGTAGGAATTGTTAAAGAATCCAAATTTCAAAGACTTAATGGGAAAATCTGTCTCTGAAGTTAAAATTGCGAATACATGTTGCCTGGCTACATGTTAGTATGATGCCCTGTTTCCTATAAAGGGGAGCGTGGAGGATGTAAGGGGAAGGGAGAAAGGGGTTTGGTTTTGACAACTGAGAACATAATACAATTGTAATATCATAAAGAAAAGGGGACTTTATATTCCATCATCCTTCTTGCTTAGCTGAGCTAAATGAGGACTCAGGCAACGTCCTTTCCCTAGAGATGCCTTTTCTATTCCTTCTACCTTCATTTCCTGTTTTCCACCCTTCATGGACTGCTGTAAAGAAATTAAACAGGACAACCAGATAGAAGAAATAAAACAGCCATCTCTAGGCTAAGGATGCTGCCTCCCTTATCTAATTCAGTTAAGCAAGACGGCTTGTCATAGGAAGATGGAGCATATATGTGTCTGCTCCTATGTTTACTTACCTGGTCATGCTGCCAGGTTGTTCGTTTGCAATTGGTTCTAACCCTTATTTTCTTTCCTTTTCTGTTTGATTAAACAGCTGAGAGATGAACTTCGGAATGGAACTCTTCAGTTAACGAGTGAGTACTTGGCTTATTTTGTCTTCTTTCCTCTTCTCTCTTCCTTCTTCAGAACAGATAGGCTAATTCTGTTAGACTATAGTTTCATCTGTCTCCTTTCCCAGTCCCACCCCACCCCACCCCACCCCCCTCTATCCCTGGCCCTAACCCCACAACCAAAAGTTAAATTAAATAAATGTAAGACAAAAATTTTCTTAATTTGTCACACGCGGTTGAACAATATACATTTGACATTTACAAATTAGACTAATAAATGTTGTCGTGATATAATTTCTTTATGCAGGGGAAAATTTGGAAAAGGAACCACAGATGATGGAACTAAGGAATCAGGTGAGATTTTGAACTGTCTTCTTTTTAATTTTGTCCTGAAGCTTTTCACCATTGGATTGCTGACTGGTAAAGGTCTTCTGCATGATGTTTTCTTGTGATACAGTGCAGAATTATTAGGACTACAGAATTAGCTACTGCAATGGAAAAGCTAAATGAGCTGGAGAGGCAAAAAGGAGAGACCCTGAAATTCTACGCCCCAGCATCCCTGCTTCATCGTCTTCAAGGTAAACTTGAGATTAAAACGCTGATGAAAGTACTATTGTTGTCATTGTAAAACTCTGGGTCACGATCATTTTAACCCATCTTTTTATTCTTAAGAAATATGGATGTCTTTCAATTACAATGTAGTCTCAAAGATGTCTTTACTGTTTGCAGAGGCAATGAACAAGACCGATGAAGAATCGGAGATTGTTCACAGGCAGCTTCTTGATAGGGAGATCGATCTTGCAACTTTCGTGCAGAAATACAAAAAGCTGCGTAACACTTACCACAGACGTGGACTCACACATCTTGCAGCAAAGACATCTCTGAACGGCCAAGTGTAAAATTTGTATTCCTGTGTGCATACGGCTGAGCAATGCAATTACAGTGTTACAGTGCTTTTACTTCGATAAAGATTCCTTTTGATTACTGCCAAGATTGTTGACAAAGAAAACTGCAATGTTACATTTATTTCGTAGTCTTTTTTGTATAAATTACAGTTCTTTTTTACGAGACACGGACATATTTTTCTTCATCATGTTGCCGTCGCATATAAAAAATTACAGTTGCACCTCGAGTCATATTAAAAAAAACTCCCAGATAGGATCACCCCCTCGTTAAATTTGAAATGGCGGGGACAATCTCATTAGTTAGGGCTTTAATTAGATAGACGGGTCTCTCTCTCTCTCTCTCTCTCGTTTAATCAAGCCTGGAACTATTACATAGAGGTAGAAAAAGAGTACATTATTATTCAAAGTTCTTGGTCCCTGTTGATGGCAGACACATCCAACATTACTGCCATCAGAGAAACAAAAGAGCTGGTGACACCACCCACGGGCTCAACCATAGAACTGGCACCATATTCTAATAGATGGTAATTCTAACACAGTTATTCATGCTGCAATGCTCCCACATTAAGCAGGCCTGGAGGATCCTACAGCTCATCCATGATTTCAAGTGTCCATTAAAATGGCATCTCCACCAAAACAAGGTGCAATACCAACAGATACTCGAATGCTGCACGACATCGCTTATCCATATCGGTCCATAGGTGACGGCATCTGATCTCCCAGTGACATTATCTTGGAAGATCAACCCCAGCTAGTTCAAATTGCAGTGATGAAGGATGCTTCTCAGTTATCCTCTTATCTTCAACCTCAGTTTCTTTTGGCCTAAAAAAAAACCCTTACATTTGCACGTTTAAGTAAACTACTAACACATTCAAAAATGAAAAGCTAAACCTTTCCTTTGCGCGTTTAAGTAAACTACTACACTTTCAAAAATGAAAAGCTGAACACACTCCCCCCCAAAAAAAAAAAACAACCCAAAACACCACATATTGCTTCCATGGTCTAGCTTTCCTCACTCAGGCGAGCAATTTCTTTCTCCCACTTCAACCCAAACATCTGGCGGCCAAAAGGAACAATGAGGTTGTACCGGAAGACCTGTGAATTATACACCAATTCAGTTTTTGCATTCGATAAATATGGTACTACAGCAAACCCTATTAAATTAACCCCAGCCAAGCAAATAGATCCAGAAAGTGCCAAAAACATATCTTTCGGATGATCTATCTGAGATCAATTTCCTAATCCGGCTTGACATGTCTGATCACATAAGAGAGAGAGAACCAATTTGTAGATTAGTCAAATCCACCATAAAGTACATCTGCTCCAAATTTTTCCTAATTTTGGATTGATGAGACCAATGTTACTTGCACTATAAATTGATATGGTACGCGTGGTACGACATACATGGTGTGATGAGGACTTGGCTGATACACTATTCAGGGTCACAAAAGTCTTATCTAGACCGCTTACACTACTATACAAAATTATTTATTATATATGTTGATGTATATACACATACTCAACTAGTATGTATTCTACCTTGCTGATTGTTTTCCTAACATAAATTTACATGTAATCATACATCTATATAAACACAGTCAATTGCTATTTGTTGTTATTTGTGATGCAAGTTCCAACTAAATCACTTGGAGTTACGGTTACACTTTGGGGTCAAAAATTTAGTCAATCTAGGTTTGCAGTTGTTCCATTCGGATGAGTGATTTCTGGTAACTGTGAATAAGACCCACCAAGCCACCACTGGAAAAGGGGAAACCTGTTGATTGTATTGTCCTTGATAAATTCACAAGCACCATATACTTGCTTTGTGTTACAATGTCAATAAAAGTTATAAACAGACACAAGTAACTTGTAGTATCTACCAGCCTCCCCATCCCAGGAGTTTCAGAAGTTGAGATTCAAGCCTGCTGATAGCTTGCAGGGCCAGGTGTGGCTCCTGGACTAGGATCCAAGCCAATCCCTTCCCACAATCATCCATACCCGGGCCAAGACAATCGTGCCAAAACCTCCATTCCTAGGATTTTTAATGGGTCGTGTCTATCATATGCAATGTAAAAATTTGTTCAGACTCATTTCCGACTTGTAACAGTAGAATTCATATCCTGTATAAATCTTATTTCATGTTAATTTTAGCCAGATTCATACTCACTCATTAACCGTGTGTGATGGATTAACCCATTTATCATCCTAGGCATTAAGACTAAACCTACGATCTTAATTTCGAGCTGATTTCATATCCAAATCATGTAAACAATTATTAGCCACACTTCCTTTAGGCTCTTAATAACAATAACCTTAAAAAAAAAAAAAAAGAACAGAAATAGAAAGAATACTATAACCCATCTCTCACCTTATTGTTGATGTCACGCAACTGTAGTTTCAGAGTCTCCGAACACTCAATCCATTTGGAGTCACCTCGATCATCCTTGCGTGCCCAAGCTTTCTTCAGAGCCAATCGCCACTCAGCAATTCTATTCCTGATCTCTTTGTTCAGTTCAACCCACTCCGGAGAACATCCATTCCTTGAAAGAATTCTGTACAGTGTGTCGTCAGCTGGGTCGGCATGAGGATTAGTAGTAAGGTTCAGAGGTTTTCCCTTCCCTGGTAAGTTCTCGAACTGACCTTCTTCCATCGAATGCCATATTCGCTGCTCGACCACATTGATAATGTCTGTTTCTGACCTGCCCAATTGAAAATCCAAGATTCAATAATGTTGGCGTATAAGAAATGTTGCAATTTGAATTTTCTGGAAGAATTTTCTCGGTAGACAAACAGAGGGTACACCAAGATAGTTTCAATTAGACAAAGAACTGGTTCCAAGCAATTAACAATAATACTAAAGTTTATTTACTGTCTATAAGAAACGTTGCAATTTCTATTTTCCGTGAAGTTTTCTTCTCGGTAGCCAAACAGAGGGTAATTGGGAATCGACAAAGCAGAAAGCGTAATAATCAGTAATCACCTGACGACGTTACGTTGGCCTCGGAGTTCTGGAGGAAGACTACGGTCGTACATGGCGTCTATAAGTGCGGAGAGACGGTCAGCTATCTTCTTATTGGGTTTTGGAGACGGAGGAGAAGATGAAGACGACGACGACGAAGATGAGGCCCACCTGACTCTGGACACGCCACGGCCGATGATCACTATCAGAGACGAGGTTTCATTCGCCGGAGATATCTCAATCAACGGTAGCGATGAAGTCACCGCCGCCACCGTTCTCGCGACAAGCGTTGCCATGGCCGAGTGGTCTCGGAGTTGGACTATCGCTTCGGCGGTTCGATTTTCTACATCGTACTATTTTCTCGTTTGTCGGTGATTCCGACGTGGCGTATTATGGAGCGTGAGTTAAATGGGGGCACGTTATCTTAGATGTCAAGGTCTGATTGGACCCACTAATGCCATACCGAATCTAGACCTGCCATAAGCCCATGAGTAGAGCCCAACAACTAAGCCCTTGGCCCATTTGTGAATCTATTTGGATTGTGCAAATACACTTGTCACTCATCCAATACCCAAAAGAAGGAAATATTATGACCAGTTTGCTCATTGAAAGATCATATCCAACTCACTCTCTATATCTTCTTTTTTTAACTATTTTACCTTCTCAAATACTAAAAACACTCTAACCCATTCTTTATTTCTCATTTCACCAAAATAGCTCTCCAAATGTAAAGAGGCATTTAGCCTCTCTAAATTCTCTCTCTACCTCTTTCTTTCTCTATCTCTCTCTCTCTATATATTATTTCCTTTAAATTATTAGAAGTTAGTGAAAGTTGGGTGAAGTAGTTAGTTAAAAGAGAGAGTAAATTGTATCTAACGAATCGTGTTATATTAGGTTTATATCATTTATAACTAATTTATAAATAAGTCGTCTTATGTATTTCTTTTGATTGATTTCACCAATACTCGATTCATTTATTGATCTTATCAGGTCAAATTCACTTGTTCATGATATGGGTGGCTTTAAAAAATTTAAAACTTCTAATTTCATGTCGTATCATATTTTGACATCCCTAATTGAACCAATATCCACATATAACCTAAACTCACGCTTTAGAACATCTTTAACATTGACTCTAATTTTGAATCAAATTAAAATTTGAGTTAAAATGGTTCAAAAAACTTCTCCAACATTTGACTCAAATCTATACCAAAATAAGGAAAAACTTATTCTAAACCCAAATTGAGAAAAACTCAAATCTTATTTCAAATTCACAACAATAACTTTTTACCCTATCCAAAACTCCTTCGACAAAACACTTCAACCCCATAACCATGCCTCTCTCTCCAAAGTTGCTTCCCTTACTGACCACCACCTTAACGTTCACGAATCTTTTAAACACCTGTAGGTAAGTTTCTTTCTTTTTTTCTTCTATCTTCTTTGTTTCTTGTATTTTTTTAAAATCCTAATCTCACCCATCTTTCGCACTATATAAATCTTAAGCTTATCCAACAAATTTCTTCATTTCTACATAATTTGATTAAGCTTCCATAATATCAAGAAGACCACAGTAGTTATCAAGCAAAATGGAAGCAATTTGAACCTATTAGTTGTAACTTTGTTGTTGTAAACACATTTCAACAGTAGAAATGAAGGCTAATGGTGCTTGAAATTACTATGCCCAAGTGCAGAACAATGACTGTGTGAGGCCTAGTGGGGACTTTGTGAATGTTGGGTCAATAAGAAAGTAAGTGCTGATGTTGGATCAATGAACAAAATATAAGTGGTTCACCTTAGCCAAAAGACTAAAGCTACATCCACTGTAATGGAGACTCTTACTCCTTAGAATTTGTATTACTTAAAGTAGAAGACAATAGTTACAGTGGATTTCTTGACCTAGAGCCTTTTGACACTGTGTATTCCAAGTAAAATTCTGCAACTCTTGCTTGTACAACGATTTTGTCTTCTATTTATACATGTGTTCATCTAGGATTTTCTATGATTCTTCCTTCTCTTGGCTGATTCTGTGGCCCCTCTTCATCTGTCCTGTAGCGGAGTCTGTTACTCTGGCGCACATTGTCGCGTGATCCTCAAAACAGAATGTATATCAAAAGTTGTCTCCCTATCCCCTTGGACACGTGGCGCGATGAAAGTTGTTTGGGATTTATCTCGTACCAAGCCCTAGTTCCCGAGCTGACCCACTTCGCCGTGCTTGAGATGACCGAGCAGGAATATTCTAAGCTGGGCATCATTAGAATTTCAGCCTTGGGTTGTGGCCCACCTTTTATGATGAGGCAGACGCGCTGCGAGTGGGCTGTTTAGGCTACCATGTAACTAGGGGCCTAGCGGGTGTCTTTGGGCTTTGAATGGGTGGCCCAAGCTAAGATCCATCATTATCAGTTGCCTCCCAGCCTTAGGTAATGAGGGTGGCTTTCCAGCTTTAACTTGAGGTTAAATATGTCTTTTTCGTGGCCATGACTTCCTCTGTGGATGACAATTTTTCATGATTACTAGCGCTGCCCTTGGGATGTATTCGGCTAACCCACGTCGATTTGATGGGACATGCATACTTAAGGGGGACACATGTCATCTGGAGGGAGATCCCCTTGTATGGCTTCTTCTGTATATTCTCTTCCATATCTCATCGTGATAATAAGTGTTGTGTATAAAAAAGGAGGAAGCTTATTATCCTTTTCACTAGCATTTTGAATTCTTGCCTCCTCGCGCGTCTTCGTTTTGTTTCTAGGTTTTGAAGCTTTCGTTTCAAGTACCTGGTGGTTCAAGAGTTCTACATTTCTTACTCTTCTGCGGTTCCATTCTAGCTCCTGATTAGGTACACTTTCCTCTCTTTCCTTCGATCTGGATCCCTTTAACCCTCTTTGGTGTGGTTACGGGTTTTGCTTTATTATTTAGAGGTTTAGCTATCTTCAAAATCACTTATGTAGTTTCACTTCCCTTTCACAATTTGTAGGTTACACAAATATTGTCCTTACTCAAGGCTTGGTATTTGTCTCCCCCGTTCTTGACTGATTGCGCTTCGCATCTGCCTCCCTTACATTCTGATATGTATTTTGGGCCGATAATGGGAAGGGTAGTGTTGGAGTCTTCTTCCAATTTTGAGTTTGTGGAGGAAGGTGATGAGGGCATCGATGAAAACTTTGTTGCTTCTTCCAATGGCCATTCTAAAGTGGGGTGTCCTCTCCCCTAGGCAGGGAGGAGGCGTCCACAATCGATGAAACATTTGACGTGTTGTGCGGAGTCGACCTCGAGCCATCTTGACCAGGAGGATTTGGAGGCTCTGAAGGAAAATTACTCCTTCCCAAAGTCTGTCCTCCTCCTTTCTCTTGGGGAGGATGAAAGGTGTAACTCTTCTATTCCTAGGATGACCTGCTTTTTCACGTCAGCATTTCGTGCTGGCCTTCGGTTCCCCGTTCATCCTTTTATTCGAGACATCCTTGCTTTCTACAATGTCTGCCCAGCTCGAGTGTCTCCTAACAGTTGGGGCTTGCTGGTTGATTTTCTCATCCATTGGTTTGAGAGTGGGAACACTTCTCCATCCACCATTCGTGAATTTCCCTACTTTTCCAACTCAAATCTTCTCATTCGATGGGATTTTTCTATTTTACTAAGAGGGTGAAGGCGAAGAGTCTAATTTCTAGGCTCTCATCTTCTAACAAAAGGTGGAAGTCGAGGTTCTTTTTTGTTCAAGGTGATTCTTAGGAGTTGTTGGGAGCACCTGGGGATATTCCTCGGATTCCTCGATTCTAGGGGAATCCTAAGGAATACTCGTAAGGCCAACTGTTGGCTATGCATCTTTATATGTTTGCTGGCAGCGTCTTTTGTTTGGGGGTTACAATACTAACTTTTGGTTTAATTTATAGGTTTATGTCCAGTTCTTGATGCTATAGAGGCTGTTAGGGTGGTTAAGGCAAAGAATTTTGGTCTAAAGTCTATTTTTGATCTAGTGATCGAGAAGAATCTTGTGAAGCACAAGCTTGGACCCTCGATGAAAGCGTAACCTGCCCACATCACGGAACTACTGCCTACAAACTCTCTTGACCCAACAGACCCTGAACTCATTATGACGGCCTTTACCAACAAGAGGACTCGAAAGATGAGGAAGCTGTCAAAGACTTATGAGCCTCCCCTAAGGAAGAATTGATGCCAACAGGTGCCTATTTGGAGTAGAAGTGTAAGGATTTAGCTTCCCTTGAGGGCGACAAGCCCTCGGAGGCAGTCCTTGCTCCTCTCCTGTCGACTTTGTTGAAGGAAAATAAGGGGAAACTCAGTCCTCATCAATCGATTATCCAGGGGAGTGGGTTCCTTCGTGATCCCGAGGCGGTTGTGAAGGCCCGTGCTAAGCTGGTCCCGACTTCGGATCCTGAGAAGGCCATGCAGGTCAGCTTTAAGAGGAAGATCAAACACGCTATCTAGGGCATGACCGAGGTACTATTTTCATTCACCTTCTTTACTGGATTATTCTCCTCTAGATCCCTTTGCCTCCTAGGTATATTGATTGTGTCTTTCTGTCAGTCCATGACGTGTGTGAAGATGATGGAGCTCCATCATAATTGGCTTGCGACTCAACTAACTGCAAAGGAGCACAAGCTGAAGATTGCATAGATCGTTGCAAACGCTGCCAAGAGGGAGAAAGGTTTACCTGAGAGAAAGGTCGCTATTTTGGCTACCGAGACTGAGCTGAAGAGGATCTACAATGTCCTGAACACCCATTATCAGGACTTCACAAAGCTAAAAATTGTTGAGCTGAAGGCCAAGGACGAGGAGCTGAAGGCGAAAGATGTCGAGGTGGAATCCTCGAAGGAAAGGATTGATGAGCTCCTTAAGGAGAATGTTTTCACCTTCGTGAAGGATTTATGAACTTTCAAGACCAAGCCGAAAAGGCAAATCCTAACCTTGACCTAGACTCTTTCATGCTACAACTCGAGGCATTAAAGCTGGCGGATGCAGTTGCGGGAGCCATTGCTAAACCAGTTGATGCGAGTAAGGGAGCTTCTACCAAGCCTGTGAATACATAAAATGAGGGTGTTGCCGATCCAACTAGCGGTGATGGGGATCCCACTGCATAAACTTTTGTTCTTGGTCGTTCTTACCTTTCCTTCTTTGTAATTAACTTTTTGTGCTTAACTCTTCCTTCTCATGTACTCTCCTTATCCCTTTAATAAAAGACTAGCATGTTTTCTTACCTGTTGGTTCTTTCCTTCCCTTCTCTATCTCTCTCTCTTAACTAATGGGTAATATATCTTGTCATGGCTTGCACTCATCCCGGCCCATTGTCAAGGTGGAGTCCCATGCTGTATTTGGGTTAAGCAGCTCTACTGAAAATTGCTTCGACCTTCATAGAATCTGAG